TCTCACAGTGTTATGCAGTAATGTTTACTGATAACGTTTCGAGCACAATTTATTACTGCTCATAATCATATCAAGGCAATACACGCACAACTTTCTAACTTCGTTTATATAATTCCACTATTTTCCATCGTTTGATTTGATTGGTAGTAGTATTTTCCAAATTTTGCGGTATGAGTGATGAGTTATTCCTAGACTCAATGAACAAAGATTCAGCGGTTAGCCTCTCTCTCTCTACCTACATAGATTACATTTTAGAATTTTAACCCTCTCCCACCATGCTGTTGTGTGATTGCGTGTAAATGCATGCAGTGCAATTCCTGGGCTTTTCTCTAAATTACTGATCTTCATGGGATCAACCATTCTGTTATTATTATTGTTCCCTTGGGTTGCTAGTGGAACATAGAGCTTCAACTGCACGTCTCCACCTACTTCTGTCTTCTCCTGCACTCTTCACCTGCATCCATCTTAGTCCACACCGTTTCAACTCCTTTTCACACGATCTCCTCTATGTCACCCTTGCACTAACGACCCACTCGCCACCTGCTTCCCTTTCGGTCCGGTCCCACTGGAGCAATGGCCTGACGCGCGCGCGAGCGAGCGCGCCTCATCAGCGAGCCAGTGTCCAATCCATCTCAATCCACTTCCTACTGCATATTTGCTGTTGTTGGGCGATTGCTTCTTGTTTTGTTCGCTTCTTTGTTTGTTCCCATAGTTTCTTGTTGTTGGGGATTCTTTCCGCCCCCCACCCCACCTCACCCGGCCATCTCATCTTCAGTATAGATCCAGCGAAGACAGGTAGGTAGTTGTTGATAAAGGTAACGTCTGAAACAGGCTGTTGGTGGAAATAGTCATTGTGACCCACCCGCCAACCTTCTGATCCCTTCTATGCAGAAGAACTGACTGACTAACTTGACGTGTTTGTATTGAAAATCCGACCGACGGAATTTTCTTGTTGATGTTGGCTGAGTGACGAAGACTGGTTTCCAGATTGGTTGTTTCAGGTTGATGAGTGAATGTGTTTCTCGCCGCCCTCCTCGATTCTCGCTCGATTTGACATCGCCGTCCGTTCCGACTTCCTGTAGTTGAGACAATGCTCCCTCCCTAGATAAGTGAATGAATGAAGTAACCTCTTTCAAATCCCTCCCGTTGGTCAGTCCAGGATATCCCTCCCTGTCTTCTCGTTTCCCTGTCACTGTCTGACGCATAATCCAGTCAGTCAACCACAATTAGGAATATCATTCATTGGTGATAATAAGCGAGCACCCTTGTCTGACTCCTGTGTTTACTCGTCATTCTAACCTTAGCCAAATTCTTATCTTCTCCCTGGCAACCTTTCTAACCCTTATCTACTAGTCTGACTGAGCTATGTAGCTGGCTTTACTCACAGTCACTGCAAGGTATTTTGTAAATTATATTATTTTTTCTAATTTGGTCAATGCAAAGGGTCTTTCAACCTACCTACAGATCCTATCCTATCTGAGTGAGTTTGTAGGTTTACATGCCACCACCCTAATTCCTGCTTTATTAAGAATTATACGTATGGAGGGTCTCAGATGTCCCCTCCCTCCTTATATGGTATAACTACTGTAGATAACTTGTATTCTCTCTTTTTTATGTTATCATTACTAGTTTCACAAGTATTTTTATTTTTATTTTGGCCTTTTCCGATCTTTCTAATGAATTTGCCAGGGTAGTTATTTGAAACGTCATCGGTAAACATTACTGTGTAATAAACACTGTGAGAATTTATCAAAACAAATTTTAACCATAATGGAATGGGGTGTCATTGTTTACGAACCTCCCACTAACTAAAATAATATGCTATATATGTGAAAATATTGACTCAAAGGGGATGAAAATTGGTATACCCACTGAATTTTTAAAGGAACCCCCGCTGAAATGTACCCTCAACGTCCGATTCTCTTTCAGTAACGAAATATATCAACAAAAGGGTGATGTAGCTATGGGCTAACTGTTTGGCCCGTTGCTTACAGATTTTTTCATGTCAAGACTAGAAAACATACATCTAAAGAAAATGATTGACAACTTTGGGTTTTACGAGAGATACGTCGACAGCACTCTGATTATCTCCAACTTTGAGGAGAATTTGGAGAACATCTTGAACTTCTTCAGCAGTTGACTTCTAGCAGTTCACTTCACACTAGAGAAGGAATCCGACACAAAAAATATCTTTTTTCGACATCCAGTTAACAAGGCATGAACAACACAGAACAACAAAAGGATTCATCTACAGAAAGCCGAAATGGAACAGACAACTTACAAACTTTCATAGTTGGGTGCCAAACTAAACCTGATCCGTTCAGTGAACCACACAATCCCCAGAATTTGCAGCCCTGATACTATCTAGGAAGAGGTAAACAGTCTGAAGAGAAACCTCCTTGACAATGGCTACCGAGAACGTTTCACCACAAAATTTAAGGAAACCTTAATCAGTTATAAACCACCCACACTTTCTGCTCTCAAAAATCGTCTCTACTTGAGTCTACAATTCAACAAAGACTCATTGGCAGGAATAATGAGAAACTTCCTGTCACACTTACTGAAGAAAATATTCTTCCGAGGTGAACTTTGAATAACTTTCTCTATAAAATTTAGGATTCTCACGAAAGTGAAGGATAAGCGAACACCGTTGGCCGGTCTCAACTACCGATTCACCTGTGGAGCTAGATAGGTACGTTGACCGTACACAGCGTTTGCTATCCAAACGTATCATTAGACACTTACCCATAGTCCCCCCGAAGCTCCATTTTGGAACACATGATCGAATCAAGACATTTAGCAAACCCACCGACAAAACAACTTCAAAGTAATCTACAGAATACACTGGTATCTTGCTAAGGGAGTAAGAGTGAAATTCCTTCAAAATCAGTAGAAGCAATGGGAATTCATCGCATGTTAAATCATGAACTCTGCACGCGAAGAAGAAGTCTCTTTAGTCATTAAAATGTCTACAGTGAAACTGATCTATCGTAACATCAGATACATAATTTAAAACAATTAGCTCCCTTTATGAGTCTAGATAAAGCAATAAGAAGACGTAATTTGTCTGGATCGTGTGATGTTGTATTTGCGCAACACATTTCAAACAATCTAATCACACACACACACACACACACACACGGACTTTTCATAGGAATAAATTAGAAATTAATAAAGAGTTAAGGTCAAGTTTAAAGGACATATTCAAGGTCAGAATAACAATGATAACCACTAAACCAAATAACAGGGGTAATAGTACAAATTGGTCAATACAGTGGAATGTGACATCATTTTTCTTAAGTTCGAAGGGCTTAGATGGATGGATATATTGGCTTCACATTCTCAATTTTTATGATACTAGCTGCATAAAAGTTTTTTTAACAGCAGTGTCCAATCTTTGTCTAGTTATCAAGCTGCTGTGATGCCCCGTATAGAGTAGCCTAATGTACATGTCCTTCTTAGGAGCGAGTTGGAGAGTGGGTCTTGGTGTTCTGACTACTTTATATCTCCTGATCAACTTGTCTGGATAATTGTTATCAACCAGAGTTTGTGTCAATATTCTTTCTTCTTCATCAAGTGTGTCTTCAATGCATATTCATTGGATTCCACTGAAGAGGCATATCCGTCATTAAAGTTATTTTGTACTGAACAGGGCAGAAACTGTGGTAATTAAGATACTGTCCTGCCCATATATATTTTCTATAAATAGATCTTTTTATCGACCCACCAAGCCGTCGACTAAACAGTATGTCTAGGAAAGATAAACAATTATCTTCCTCTTCTACAGATGTAAGTGATATGCTATTCTGAACTTCATTCATTCGATTTAAAATTGAGGTGACAAACAAGGCTTATCACTGATGACTACGATGTCATCTGCATACCTTCTATAAAGTGGCACATTTTCGATTAAATCCTCCAATAAATTCTCGATGTACGACATCTGCTAAAAGTGGCGCTAACGGACTTCCCATAGCAACACCATCAATTTGGCGGAAACAATCGTCTTCAAACGTAAACAAACCTAACATTGTTAGTACATAGAAGTGATAAATTCCTTAAATAAGATACAGGGAATGGCAATGAAAAATATTGTTTGTGGAAATGTATTCACACAAAATGTCAACTGTTTTGAGCAAAGGCATATTAGTAAATAACGAGTTTACATCAAAAGAGTACATATTCTTACATAATTCTTGTGACAGTGGTAATAACAGTAATTATAATAGTTAATAGACACCTACTGACTAGCTATTTGGCTTTATAATGTAGCGAAATGCCTACAAAACTAATACAAATACTTGATTTAATGCTCACTAGTGACTGGCCCTATTCAGGCAGTTAACGTGGGGTTGTAGTGGGAAGTCGTGACCAGTAGGGCGTAGCAGCTTGAGAGTGAGGCATTAACTCCTCGAAAAAGACATTACGAATCGGTCGCGCTAGATCATTAATTAGCAGAAGTGAGAATTTATAGACTGGCTGGCCATTGGATAGAGCAGGTCCCAGTGGCTGGTTAATGGTTTACGAGCTCGCTCGCTGGCCTTGTAACCAGAAGGTCCTGGGTTCGAACCTCAATGGAGTGGGCGAGTAGTGATGAAGAGTTCCAGTACTCCCTGGTGGGTGGTTTTCCAATGGTTCTCTAAATGATGTCAGCTCATGATGAAATCCTCCAACCAATCAAACAGTGATCTCTACACTGCCGATAATTGAAGATATGAAGCTATTTATTCTCATCATCCAACCACACTGTTCCTTGTTAATTCATCTAATGATTTAAAGCGTTTCTTTTTCTCATGTTCCTTCGCGTTACGAGTTGAGCATATGGCTTACAGTTGCAAGGTTTGAGGTTGTCCTTCCTCCCGGTTTGAGAAGTTGTCAGTCAGCAAAGCACATCCAACCTCCCCTTATTCTTAGGATAAGTGGGTGTTCGTCAGCCATTGACTCACTGACACCCACATCCTAGTAAATTGTAAAAGGTATTGGGTTAGTTAATGACTTACGTGCATCGGGTGTTGTCACTTCTAGCTGAGCTGTAAGACCTGTAGAACTTGTGTTCATTAGTACAACTTCAAACAGATAAGTCAATCCGTAACCTACAGATTTAAAAATAATGTAAAAACAAAAATAGTGAGCATATATGTGTATATATTACATTACAAAATGTGTATGGTGGTTCAAATCATAAGAAGATAGGCGCTAGTTCCAAAAACTGGGGCCGGTGAACAGTAACAGTCAGACTAGCTAATTTTCTTCTTCATATGAACTTTAGTGTCTCCCTTGTGCTAAGAATGCTATTATTGATAGGATAATTTTAAAGGACATCTGTATTCTGCTTCTCAGTTATAGTTTGTCCCAGTGCGCTTTATACCTATTATTATTATTCCATTGGTTTCCGAGTGGAACATACGGCTTCAACGGGACATTTTCTCTTGTCCTCTGCAGCTGACTGACCCCACGGTCGCCAATAAGCTATCATCTTACCCTCCTCCAACTGGCACGATGTCCTACATGTCACCCTCACATCGACCACTCGCTCGTCACTTCCCATCCATCCCCCTCTTGAAAGAGATGGGTGACCTCCATCACACGCGATGTCATTCAATGGCCTCAGTGTTGCTCAGCGTATTCTCAATCAATCCATTTACATTCTCTTCTGCATATTTTTTAAGCAGTCAGCTCTTCGTTGGTTCGTTCGCTCATCGCCAGCCAGAGTTCCATGTTGCTAATTCTTTCTGGCGGGCCAGCTGGCAACCTGGCCATTTGACCTTCAGTATGGAGACAACTGTTGCTAAGTGTCTGCAGTAGTCTGTTGGAAATTCTTTCTGTCAGGCATGTGCAGTGCAAATTTGTGACCTATACAGAAGCACTTGCCAACTGACTGATTGACTTCACTGACATTCGTGTTGAGAATACAAATCATGTTCCTCATGCTGAGGTGGAGTGCAGACGATTTCCAAACTGGTTTCAGGCTGATAAAGGTGTATCTTACCTTTCACATTCCTGCTTGTTTCGATGTCTTTATCCATACCCCCACCTGTGGTTGAAACAATTCGCCAACATGGGCTAGATAAGTAAAGGCAGGAAGTGACCGCTTTCAACCTCTTTCTCCCGTTGATGGTAATTTCTGATGGTTGTTGTTGTTGGTGGTGATGGTGTTGCTGTTTCTTTGGGTGGTTATCGTGTTATCTTCATCATCTCAGACTTCACATTCGCTGTGTGCATCTGGATTCATGTGCTTGATACTTAATTGGCTGTATTGTCTATTACAGAATATGGCGAGTCTGGGAACCTTGTTTCAGTCGAGTCGAAATGTCAAGAATTTAAAGTCTGCCGATGATCATTGCCCATCTACACAGCTGGTAGAGAAGAAACCTCCATCAACAGAGCAGTTGTCAAGCTCATTCATGCTGCCAACCTCTACGCCTCAGATAGATTTAGGGAATCAGAAGTCAAGGCAGGCAAACAAAAGTACCAACCAACATTTCCGAAAAAGACCTCGATGATCACATCAGTGAGACATTAACACAACGCCTAAGGAATACAGAGTTAAAGGCGAACTGTATAATTGCTCCTCTTCCATGTGTTCTTGTGAAGCCAGTTAGTTTCATAGACGTGTTTATCGTCTGATTTCCGTAAACCACCCTGTACAGTAGTTAATTAATAGTGAAACAAAGTCCATTCATAGTTCTATACTCTCTCATCTTTTGGATACAGAACAAAAAAAATTGATCTAAACAAGGAGACTTTCAAAGTCATCTACTGCATACCAACTAATCTTAACTTTACCTTAAGAGTACATGTACTACATATTGTTGAGGCTGTTGGAATCTACATCAGGAAGCCTGACTTACATATCCAGATGAAGAAGAAGAAGAAGTTGGTTCAGACACTCTCCTCACAGTAGCCATCAAAATTTTAATGACCCTAAATTTGTTGTTGTAGAGATTCCCTTAATTTTATTTGATAATATATCCACCATTACATTTTTATGGTAATTATTATAACTTAAAATTTTTCCTTGAGCTGTGATTTCGTTGATAGCGTTTGTGCGTCGGTGGTATAGCGGTTAGGAGGCTTGCCGACCATTCACATGGTCTGGGGTTTGATCCTCGGCCGGGCGAAGGACAAGAATAGCGTCCCAAAACCTTGAACGATCAAATGACCTTGAACGCATGCTAGTCATTGGTTGAGAAACCTTTCCATTATTCTAGCGCAAAAATGATGCCTGTTCATCTGCTCAGATGCTAATTTCAGCCAGAGCACGCTTTTCAGTACTGCCTAGACAATGGATTAATAGGACGTACTCGGATATGTAGTTGTGGTGCTTCTATGAACCTGCAGCCGTATACCCAGGTGATTGATGGATATATATTTAGATGTACACAGTGTAGGAAGCGAACAAGTGTTCGTACTGGTAAGTGACACTCTCAGTTGATTATCTTTTAGGAACTTTCTTTGAAAAATCGAAACTTCCGTTGACGAATATGCTGTTTCTATGCCATTACTGGATTTTGAAGACCGGGGTGAGAGCAACTGCAGCTCAGACAGACAATATGTTAACGTCTACTGTGCAATGGTTCCAGTTTTGTAGAGATTTGGCGTCATGGAAAATAAATAGCATCACGCAAGTGCTGGGCGGAGTGGGTGTCGTAGTTAACATCGATGAAACTGTGCCTATAAAAAAATAAGTATAATCGGGGACGTGCTAGGGCTAATAACGTTTGGGTTCTTGGTATTTACGACACCCAGATTCGCAAAAGTTTCATCGAACTTATTCCGGATAGGAGTGCTGATACACTACTACCTATTATTCAAAGACTGGTCTTGCCAGGCACAACCATTCATACGGATGAATGGGCAAGATATAATCGTCTATCTACTTTGGGATATATACATCATCGAGTAAACCATTCAGATGACTTCGTGGACCCTAGAACCGGTACCCATACTAATTCAATCTAAAGTTTCTGGGAAAGACTAAAAAATAGAATCAGAGCTATAAACGACTCTCAAAACGAAGTTATATTTAGTCATCTGGACGAATATATGTATAGAAATTGGTTTAATTTAAAAACTGATACTCCTCAATATAACTGGGAGACTTTTTTATCTCATATCAGATGGAAATATCATGTATAATGTTTTTTTCATGCTTTTTTGTGTAAATATACGTAAAATTTTATGCAAATTCCTCCTATTTTCTGATTGGTCGACTCAAGGTCACTTGTGCATTCGCATCTCTTGGGACGCTATTGTAGAACTTTGCCCTCGGCCGACGCACTCGTTTACCTCGCAAAGCCAGAAATAATGCTGGTAAGGAGGAAAGGTTGGGCATGAGGCTAGCGACCTCATCCTGTAAAATAAACACTGCTACAGAAGCTTCAAGTCACTAGCTTGAAGTCCTATGTTCCACTGGGTAACGTGAAGGAAAATAAATTTAAAAAACATCATTATTGTTAATGACGATTATTATTCTAGAATAGCCAGAAAAGGAAATTATTCTTTGCTCCATTTTTTCTGGTTTTCTCTAAATACTTTCTTTAAATTCTGGAGTGCTTTTTTAATTAAATTAGAGGTAAACTGATTGAAAACAGCAATTTTTCATTATAGGTGAAATTTGCATTAATAAAGTCTTATAGTGTTATACATTGATTTTCCTGATTGCGGTAGATTGGATAATGTGACAGACAGCAGGCCGGGCAATGGGGAAACAGGCATAAAATGGACCCACACAAAAAAGAACTTGAAGGATCTGGACTTCACCAATAATATATGTCTGATTTCCCACAAACTGGAAGATATGCAAGTGAAAAGCAACAAGTTGGCAGAACAAGCATCAAAGATAGGACTTCAGGCGAACAGAGAAAACAGAGGTGATGAAGACTCCTGGCCAACACCAACAGCAGCAACAACAACAACAGACAACAATCAGCCGGTATAAATGGGAGGAACCTGAAAGAAACAACCCCCTTTACCTTCCCACCTACCTGGGAAGCATCGTTTCAACTACAGGTGGACGGAACTGACGAGGATATCAAAGCAGCGAGGATAGGGAAAGCAAGGCAAGCTTTCATTACTCTCAAGTCTGTGTGGAAGTCAACAGCACTCAGCACCCAGCATGAAAATGAAAATAAGATCCGGATTTTCAACTCCGATGGGAAGTCAGTCAGTGCTACTCACCATACGGATCAGAGACTTGGCCAGCGCGTCATAAAGGGTATATCGAACAAACTCCTGATCTTCACGAACAGCTAGCTGTCTTTGTTCAATACTCAAGATCAAATGGCCGGTCAGAAAAGATCAGCAACAGGGTGGGATCTCTGGCAATGAGCGAACCAACACAGCAGGAACCGATTGTGCAACAAATAGGCAGGAAGAAATGGAGGTAGATTGGCTGGCCATACTCTGAGGAAACCATCAAGTGAGTGACATCACTAGACAAGCCATTGCTTGAGTGGAACCCGAAAGGGAAGTGGCGAGTTGGTCGTCAGTGCGAGGGTGGGGTGACTAGGAGGAGATCATGTGAAGAGGAGATGAAAGCATGTGGGCAGACCTGGAGCCAGGTAAAAACTATAACAGAGAACCGAACGCAACGGAGACGTTCGGGGGAATCCCTATGTTCCTCTAGGAATTAAAGGAAATAATAATAAATAATAGGGTGTTATACAGTAATATTTACTGATGACCACGTTTCGAACACAATTTATTGCTCAGAAATAAATAAACAGTGCTCGAAACACGGTCATCAGTAAATATTACTTACTGTATAACACTGTGAAACTTTACCAAAATAAATTTTAACCATAATGGGATTATACTCCACCACAGTAATTTTTCAAGTTGTATATCATTTCACTCACCAATATTATCACTTTCTGATGACCTGAATGTATTCCCAGTAACATTGGCCAATAGTCTTCTCTGTAACAATGGATGACCAGTAGTATCACGATCTAAACTTGCTCCGTATGGTTCACTTGAACCCAGTGTAGTATCGGTTAATTCATTCACTAATTCTTGTGGACCAATTAGTCGTGCAAACACTTGATAGCTAACCTGTCGAGTTGTATGCAATCCTTCAGGTGGATCCCAGGCTAATTCAACACACAGATAGGGTAGATCAATGATTCCACGTGCCAGAGACTGATCTGGACGGGATGCTGACGCTGCTGATGATGATGATGTTAGTCGTGATCTTTTATGTATGCCGACAAGGTGTAATTTCCTAGGTTTCATTGGAACTGTAACGAGAAGAAGAAAAGGATAAGTGAAGATTTTTACGTAACATGAATGTTATAAGATTTAAAAAAATTGATCATAATTTGAAGAGTATCATCTGTGATCCAGAGATATAGCCTGGAAAAACTTAGCACTATTGTTATAGTCAGTTTGTCTACGGTTCAGCAGTAGAACACTCCCCAAGTACTCTTGGTTCCTTTTCCAACCAACCTATTCAGCCGGTAATAAGCCTGGTTAGGAGGGAAGATTAGGGGATGAGGCTAACAAACTCACCCTCACTGTTACTGAAGGTGCCTCAAAGTTTAGAGCTTGAAGACGTCCTATATTCCAAATGGAACTTCGAGTTCAGATGGCACAACTATAGTGATATCATCATCCTCAGCTGAGCTAAACGTCTTCCCCCATCATTTCTTAACTTAGCGCATACAACTTGGGCTGGTACCAACGAGCAAAAATTCTAGGTCTAAGAGAGGTTTCTTGCTAGTTGTCTCTAACCATCTAACATCATTTTAGAGTGGACTGTCTTGGCGAGTCCAACCTACCTTACTTTGACCTCATTACAAACTTTAGTGATAGAATGCAGTTTGCAGTAGCATAAATGACTTGATGCTTGACGATGCCTAATTATTAGTAACCCGTCTTCTTTTATCTCAAGTTGTTGTGTTTCTCTGAGTCAGATTGTTTAATTGCGAAAGTTTTATTGTCCTCCTGGATAAGATCTCTAATGTTTACTTCAGTGTGAGATTTGTGATTAACTGACTGAGTCTTTACACAAAGTCGTTGGATTTAAGTTATCAGGAGAGAAAAAAATGACGCTATGTTTGTTTGTTTGTGTTACGCGGTTTACTGGTATCGTTTTAAGAGTCTGCATTTTCAAAAATGGCGCGTGAAGCTTTCTTTTACTAAAACAATACATTCGTTCAAGCTGTTCACTGAGGGAATCAACGTAACCGTTTTTCGTTCAGATTTTTACCAACAGTTGCCGCCTTTGCCGGCTGACTGGCTCCATACTGAAGAATTAGCAACATGGAACTCGGGCCGGCGATGAACGAACCAATCAACTAAGAGCCGATTGTTCAATAAATATGCAGAATAGAATGCAGATGAATTGGTTGAGCATACTCTGAGCAAGGCTATCGAATGACATCGCGCTCAGTGCAGGCCATTGTTCGAGTGAGAGTTGAGTGGTAAGTGACGAGTGAGTGGTCGTTGTGAGGGTGATATGGAGAAGTGTGTTGTTGAAGAAGCCGTGTGTGTTCCACTCGGAACCCAAGGGAATAATAACAGTAATAGAACAAAGAGAATTCAAGACAGAAAATTCAGAAACGAATTTTGGTGGTAACATCCTATTGCACAAAATTTAATTTATTCTGACTGGTCACTCGCGCGTTCGTATTCCATAGATCGCTATAGTTTAATTTTGCCGGAAAAGTCTTCAGGAGAGTACAGTAAACATTCACTACACCACAATGAGTCAGATTTAAGATAGTTGGATTATGAAACTGGTGGTCTAACATTCATCCAGCGATTTGGAGAACATGCTGTTCAGCTTGTGGATTAAGGTCAGTCTCCATACAAACACTCGACTTGATAAAGTCGCCTAAATTTCTACGAAGTTGATCTATGATGTTATGAAATAATTTTATTGAAACAGAGTTACCGAATACATCTTGGAAGGCTGTGAGTTATATTAAATGCCTGAAGATAACCGACACTGGATAAATCTTGATGAACACAGGAAAAGATGGACTAATTTTCAAGCGTTGGTTTTGTAAAGATTGTGTTTGATTGGTTGGAGGGTTCCATCGTGAAAACCTGGGAGTACTGGGCAGTTGTTCCGTCATCCCAGTTTGGGACTCTTCATCAGTATGCACCCACATCACCATCAGAGTTCGGACCCATGACCTTCTGGTTACAAGGCCAGCGAGCGAGTTCGTAGACCATTAACCAGCTACTGGGACCCGCCCTATCCAATGGCCAGCCAGTCCATGAATTTTGACTTCTGTCATTTCATGACATAGCGCGACCACTTCACAATGTCTTCTTCGGTGAGTTACTGCCTCACCTTTAACCTACTCTACCCAACAGGTCCAGTACTCCCAGGTTTTCCATTGTTTCTCTAAATGATATCAGTTCATCATAAAATCCTCGAACCAATCAAAAGATAGATTAGTTAAGTAATACCCGAATTCGATAAAACGGAATATTATCAACAATATTGAAATGGAGATAATTTATTGGTGTGGTTGTGTTCTCTGAGCTGAGCGGTTTAAATGCGAAGATTTCATCGCCATTCTAGACAACATCTTCAGCGTAAAACTTCAATATCATAGACACACACGTCCTGCTTAAATTTTCCATTGAAGATGTTGTTTAGAAGGGAGAAAATCAATGCATCGCAACACTGAATTATCCAACTCAGACAGATACAAGAAAGTCGAAAATATCCACCCAGTTGAGCTGCATACCTTTTCTGTTATTTCAAAGATTAATAAATGAAAAAGATTGAAGGGATCAGGAGTGGTGTAACAGAAATAGCCAAGCACACTGTAGGGTTATAGTGTGGTGAAAGAGAGCTGGCTGTTAGTCAAAGTTGGTGGACAGTAATTTACGTCAATGTGTATGTCCCAACCAAATATTGGTCGTGAGAAAAATGAGAACAGAGGCTTTGCGTAGGCGGATACAGTTAGCAAATGGGTGATCTGACATTCAAGAAACAGTCACAAAGAGATTCAAGGTTAACTTTCTGTGAGAAACAACCACCAATCAGAAGACTTTGTTTTCATGCGAACAATAATCTATAATAATGTACATGAAAATCTATAAATATGTGTTGATTTCCTTAATAAAGGATTTGTTGCCTGACCCTTGTCTTCTGTTGTTACAAGGGAAATGAAAAGATTTAATCGATTTGAATTTTGATCTGCTTCGGTTTGATATTATACAGAGAACTAGTGTAAATCACAGAGTACTTACTAGACGACCATTTCTTTTGGCTTAGTTTAGGCTGACACACCAGACAACCGACAACCGCGTCTTCAGTTGTCGAACCAAGGAATTTCAAGTGAAGAGACGAGTTCATTTAATTGAGATGGTTGGGATTCAATGAGCCAAGAATACTAAGTTTTCTAATGGGAAGCCATGGCCACGTCGAGTGCGACGACAAACACTCGCCAATGCCATCACTCAGCTAGTGATGGAGCTAAAAATCGAGAATTAGCCGAAGTTAGAATTCATGACCTGGCCAATGGATTCCATCTCTGTGGCTGAATGGCCGACAAGTTTGCTCTCTCTAGCACTCCATACTAGTTATAAATGATTCTCCTCTAACTGACATCAATCGCTAATTAAAGCTGAAACATTAATCAACTTTCTGCTAGAGGTTTTCATTCACTGAGGTTAAAATAATCAAAGCCCCCCCCCCAAATAAATTTTCATTTACTTTTACAGTCTGACTTAATTTCTACCCATCTGAAACTGCAAGTGGTCACTGCAACCAGAAACACTTAACCCGCTTTTGTAACAATATTCTAGACATGTCTAACATCAATGATATGATTTTTACTTATAGGCACTGAAATGATTATATAAGCAGAAACAGCCTGGCAACTAATTTTCCCTAAAAATTAAAAAGCATTCGTGTAAATCACAAACACTCTTCGCATGTTAGTGAACCAACTATTGCACAGGCGTATTAATCGAACGTTTGCCTTCCTGTCCTACTGATAAAAATCAGACAGCCACTCTTGAAAGAAGCTTCTTCAGAGATAAGGAAAACAAAAATGAAATTATGACGTTATCTAAGTTCAGTTTCATTTTAGCAAAAACATGTAGAAGCACAACAACTAGATGGTGGTAGACTGTTAGCCTTAGCATGAATTATAAATAGAAACTCAGCATGAAGAGATAATCACACTGCTAGACAGCTAGAATCTAATAGAAGGTCAAAGGTCAGTAATTCCCGGTCGAAAAATCTGATAAAACATATAACTACTTGCAGTTAGTGTGAAAAAATTGTTTGTACATGAAAAACACGCACATATGCACACGCAAACGCACTTCTAGATTTTATCGCCCCATTTTTAAGCAAAGCAATCCCCCTCGTACCCTCTACATGTAGGATTTTAAAAATAGTAAATATGGAGACTGTTTCATATGTCCGAACCAAGTACACTTTTAACAGTTTGAAAAAAAATTGGGCATTGGGTATATGATGTTAATAATCATCAGTGTATTTCCCAAAAAAGGATATTGTCGCTATTAATGACGTTTCGCTATTTAATGCTGCTGATAACAGCGTGATAAAAGGAATAATACTAAACCAGAAGAATTTACAAAAATCCACTCAGCTTACATTATGCAACAACTTAATCATCGTTCGTCAGTCTGTGGTTGTTAGACGACACCCGTCTTTAATGTTGACCGATGAGAAGGAAAGAGAAGAAGAAATGTCAAAGAATACTACGTCGGTGGCACAGCGGTTATGACTCTCGCCGACCATGCACATGATCTGGGGTTCGATCCCCTGCCAACGCACATCGGATATCTATGGTGGTCGGCCTGCAAAATTTGGGCTACGGATATCACATGCTGAAAATTCCATACCTGTAGCAAAAATACGGTGTAGAATCAAGCTGTAATCAAAAAAAATATAATGTGTGGTTGTAAACATATTCTGAAGATATTCACTTCGGTCGTTGTCATTCCATAATGGATCAGAGATGTCGGACAAAATCAGAAGAGTACTCAATAAGCACAAAATCACACTTTTCTTCAAAACATCAGATTCACAAACATACACTACAAAGCAACCTAAGGATTTTCAATCTAATTGTGTCTACAAGATTCAAATGTTTGCAGTGTCATGGGCTGATACACATCGGACAGACATCTCCAGAGAGAAATCAAGGTAATCAGAAGAAATGAACAGCGTGGAGCATCTGTTCAACCATCCAGAGATAAATCCAGTTGACAAACTAGAAAAGCTGGGAGAATCATCAGC